GCTGGAGATCATCGGGGACCGGGGGAACCACCGGAATTAACAGTCAGGGGAAAGGAAAACTATCCCGTGAGGAAAACTGATTTTTCCAACTGCCCTGCAAATGGCTTTAAAAAGAGAGAGGGGGATGAGCTCAGGTGCACAGGTGGCTTTGTGTCCTGGCTCGCTGTGTCTGCTGTTCCCCTTGAATTGCTGTAAAACTGTTCCAAATGGAAATTAAACCCTTTCTTGGAGAGTTTTGAGTGTTGGTAGAGGAGGATTTGGGCAGAGATCACTTGGGATTGTTTAGTTCCAGAGTTTGGGGTGTGTTTTGGAGCGGTGTCAGAGATGCTCGGCTCCTGCCTGTGCTGTGGGAGCTGAACTTTACCTGGTTTGTTTCTGTGTTTGGCTGGACCCTAGTCTGGTTTGTTTCTGTGTCTGAGCACAGGAGGAAGGTAGGAACTGAGGAGGAGAAATTGCCTGTTCTGTTAAAATCTGAGTGCAGCCGAGGTGGTTTTGGGGGAGATCAAAGCTCTCCTAACACTCTTCCCATGCTTTAAACAAGAACCTAGTGGAGGTGGCCAAAGGGAGAAGGTGCCCAGGGAGGGCCCGGGCAGTGGGAGCAGGGCAGGGCAGCACAGACTGGGTGATCCCAGAGCCCCCAGGCTGGGAGGAGGCTCAGGCACAGCCACATTTGCTGCCCTGAGTGACAGCAGCAGCCTGGGGCTGTGAGCACGGCCAGGAGCTCAGCCTGGCCTGGCAGCTGCACCCCCGAGCTGCTGCATTGCTCCCTGAGGGACACATGGAACCCCAGAGCTGGCAAAGCTGCAGCCCCAGCCCCTCCCTCTGCCAGCACAATTCACTAAATCTCATTTAATGCTGGGGGGTTTGCCTTTAAAGTAATGCAAAGGCTTGTTTTTTACATAAAACCTGTGCAATAGGAGAAAACCCCTGTAATTTGTAACCACTTAACTCCTGTTTGAAGGGTTAAAGGTTTTGTTTCCTGACTGAAATAAAAGTGCCCAGAAACCCCTCCAGTACCTGAAGGAAACAGGGAGAGAGGGATGGACAAGGAGAAATGGCTTCACACTGACACAGAGCAGGTGTAGGCACAATTTGATAGCTCAGGGTGATATTTGATTTCAATCTCTGCTGCTTTGTGCACAAATCCATTCCTGGGGTGGATTTCCATAACCATCATGGATAATAAATAGTTTTGTGGAGGGGTAAAATAGACCTGGAGAGATCATGGCTCCTGCTCATGGACTGAATCTTGGTAACACCTTGAGATAATTTCTACAGCCAGCTCTTCCAAGAGATTTATATTTGAGTCCTGAATGTCTCTGAAATCTGAAATCTTTCAGGAAGCAGAGGGAGGTGTCTGTAACAGGTTGCAGCTTGGGATGTGGCCACTTTTCCCTCCATAACCTTCAGATGCTGGCTGATCTCTGAAGTGCCACTGTTGATGTCTTTATTTCCCCCAAATTTGGTGTTTTGGGCTCTTTTGTTAAACAAAGAAATAAACCTCTCCCACTGGTTCTTCCCCTTACCTGTAATATTTGTTTAAACAACCCAAGTTTAATAGGAGGGAGTGTCAGGGCTATTTTCAAATGTTTCTGTTATTAAAAGCAAACAAAAAAAAAAGCTTTTTTCTTTAAAACAAACAAAGCCTTGTGGTTTACCAGGATTCCAAGCCTTGCAAGAGGTGTTTGGCATCACCAGGGATTAAGATTTCAGCAGTTGCTCAGGCACCTGTGACCAATGTTTGTCCCTTGCCAGGCAGAGCAGCCTGCTGGCAACTCCAGAATTAAAAAGCAAAGGTGAGAATGAGTAAAGACACTGCTGGTCAGGTGGTTTTTCCATTTCCAGTGAAGATAAGGCAGGAGTTTCACTCAGCAACCTCTTTGGTGTCTCTAGTGCCCATATCTGCCCTGTTATTCTTTGCAGTTGTTACTAAAGAGGTTGGAAGAACAGGAAATAAGAATTGGTATCCACAAAACTTCAATTTTTTTGCTTAAACTTTTACCTGATTAGTTTTATGATTAATTTCTGCCCACATTTATTATGTGATTATCCCCACCTACATTTTTATATGTGCTGAGGGAAATAGAAATAGATCTGTGTGCCCACCCCAAAATAGATCTGTGTGCCCACCCCAAAGCTGCCCCTTTCAGCTCCTCTCTCCTCAGGATCTGCACCAGGAATGTTCTGAGCTGCTTTGCAGAGATGTTCCACTGATGTCCCCGGGCATTTTGGGGCCCCTTATCAGCTCCATTGCAGGAGGTGCTCCCAGCTGGTAATGTGTTCTTTGGCCTGGGTTCAGCACTTCTTGGGCTGGAGGCTCCTGTGAGACAAAGCAGCACTCAGAGATTCTCACCTCAATCTCAGGGAGGCATCAGAGCCACAGCCAGGTTCAGGTGAGGGCTGGAATTTTAGAATCTGTGTTGGGAACAGGAATTTTGTTCTGTTGGACAGCAGGGAGCTGTTTCCATCAGCTGCAGGCAGCAGGAAGGGTGGGGATGGACTGAAAAGGCTCCTTTGCAGGATGAGCAGCACCAAAATTAGGATTTTTAGTGGGATTTCTGTTGCACAAAAGCTGAGCACTCTCTTCTGCAGACATGGTGGAAGTGGCTTGGTAGGAACACTTGGAAGTGGCACTAAAAGCTGTTTGCTGTGGGCAGGGTCAGTGTGAAGTGTCCTGTTTTGTGGTGAGAACAGCAATTTCAGGTTGTTATTTCTAATCTTGCCTTTCTGGAATTGCAAGCACTTTGCTTTCTTTGCCTTGCACTCAAACAAATTGGAAGCCTCTAGATGCACTGATGGAATAATGTTCCTGAAATCTTTCACTGTGCATCTGGAGCCACTCTGGTGTGAGGAGGAGGCAGCTCAAGGCCTGTGTGAGCACTCTTTTTTTAGGATTTGAACTGATTTCCTGGTGAATTAATTGACATGCAATTTAGAATTGCAATAAGGGAATGAGCACAAAAAAAAATCCCATTGTGTTCAGATTATTTATGGTTGGGAGGAAGAGCTGTGAATGGAACTTTAGTTCAGCCCTTTCAGCAGGAACCCAGGTTAGGGCTCCAGCAGCCAAATCTTCTATTTCAGCTTGAAACAAGGTACAGAAACTGCCCAGTTTAAGGTCAGAGAAACCAAAATCCCTGCTGGCAGTGCCCTGTTTGCTCAGAGAGTAAATAATAATTATGAGGTGAGGCAGGGAGTCTGTCCTGTTTGGACACTCCAAATGAGGACAAGCATCATTCCAGCCTTCCCTCCTGTACAACACTGCTGCTCCTGGTAGATTTGCATTTTTACTTTGTGAAACCAGTTTCTGAGGGACCTCAGTGATCAGAATTAACGTGGCAGTGGGTCCTGGAGCATCTTTGCTTTGCTCCAAATCTCCAGCACTTCCAGAGCTTCGTGTGAGATTCCTGAGAAAGCACAAATCCTCCCACACAGGCACAAATCAAACCTCATTTTCTTTAATAAAATGCTTCATGTGCACTGACCTCTGGCTTAAGCTCTTGAGAAGGCAGGAAATGATGCAGAGTTTGTATGTGGAGGATCCTGAGTGCCAATTTCTCATTTCTGATCTGCTGTGTTTGTTGTCTCCTGCAGTGTCTTCCTGGGAGCTTGGAGGATCCCAAAACTGTGACACATCACAAGCTGATCCATGCTACTTCTGAGAAGGTGCTGACAGACACAAAAACAGTGTTGGAGGAGAACATTCAGGACAGAGGTGAGATTGTCTGGGTTGGAATTTTATCAGTCTGGAAGGAGGAGCTGGGTTTCATCTGGCACGTTCCAAACGTTTTTAAGATTTTCTCTCTGCCCTGACACAGGAAGCTAAATAAATGGAACTAATACAAAATTCATCTCCAGGAGCAGTTAAATTTTGGGGTATCTTGCAGAGCTGCTCTCCCAGACTCTGTAACCTGTCAGTGTTCTTTTCTCTCTCTCACAGATGTTTTGCTGCTGGTCAAGAAGCGCGCGCCAACGCTGCTCCCCAAGATGTCAGATGTGGTTGCAGAGGAGAAAGTGAGTCTGGAACATTTTGGATTAACTGTTTTATTGATGATATGGGAAGGGTTTCTGTGATGTACTCTCCTTGGAGAGGCACATGCTGCCAGTTAAATTCTACAGGAACTGCTGCTTATTTCTTCCAAACTTAGAGGAAGCTGATTTTGCATTTTTAGCTGTCATTCTGAGAACATTTGCCTTAAAATAAAACACACGGGTACACTCTGTGAAAATGTTATAGATTTGATCTTTGAACCAATGTCTAATAACTAAAATACAGTTCAGCAAGTGCCTTAGTTTGTTAGAAAACCCAAAGAAATATGTTGGCTTGCTGTCAGGTTGCCTTCTGTCACCCTGTATCCAGCCTCTGGAGCTGGAATGTTGCCCTTGCCTGTTTTATTTTGTTTTATTGGAGGTGTTCCTGAGAGTCAGGATGGTGTTGGTGCATGTTGATGTATCACATAAACTCAGAGGCCTCCAAGTTCTCTGGGATCCATCACTGTCCCTCTTTGTGCTGGAATTTCCCTGCATGTTTAGGTGTGAGGACTGAAAGTGGGGCAGCCCAACAGGCCCAGCTGAGCTCTGTAATTGCAGGGTGACACTGGAGCTGTTAATCCATGGCATTACAAGTGACAGAGCCCTGCTTGGTGGCTTGGGGAGGAATATGAAGCTCTGTGCTGTGCCTAATGGGTTATGAAACCTGCTCCTGTTCCCTTCCCTGCAGAGGAAGCAGGAGCAGAAGGCTCCTGACAAGGATGCCATCCTCAAAGCCACGGCCAACCTGCCCGCCCGCAGCGCGGACCGCAGCGTCACCCACCACAACATGAGGGATGTAAGTGCTCTGAGCTCACCCACACCCTAACAGCCTGCTTTCTATTGATTTATAATTATTTTTATAGAATTCTCTTTTTTCTATAAGAGAAATTTAGATGTCTGTATGTTTATTAAGTAGCTCAAAGTTTAGACACGTGGTAATAAAATACCGTCCTAAATTATGATTTAAGACATTTTATTTGTGCTTGGAAAAAGATCTGGAAAATGTGAAGATATGGAGTTTTATTTCTTCAATCTTAACTAATTCAGCAGTTTCCTGTGGTTTATTTCCCTTCTTTGACCACTGCCCATGGGGTGTGGTGGAAATTAAAAGCAACTTTCTGCCCAGGAGCTTTTGCTTCCATGTAACACTTCACAGGAAGGTCCCAGACCTCCTGAGAGACTAAACACTGAAAATCAAGCCCTAATAAAGCAACTTAGTGTCCAGAGGACCAGGCTGCTGCTGTGTTACTAACAATAGATACATTAAGATTCAGTGATAGCTGGTGACTTCCTGTCTAAATGCTTTGACAGTTTCCTTTCTTGCAGTTCCAGACAGAGCTCCGGAAGATTTTAGTGTCTCTCATAGAAGTTGCACAGAAACTGCTAGCACTGAACCCAGATGCAGTTGAACTATTTAAGAAGGCAAATGGTATGAACATATCTTTAGAGTTGTTGGTTCAATGCTGGGAATTTGTTTTTGGAGCATAGGAATGGGCTCAGAGTGAAGTTCAGACATTGATGTGGCAGCAAAGCTGCTGAAAACTTTGTGGCAAAAGTTTCACCTTGTGGATAAAAATCATGGATATAAAATGTCACTTTGGGATGGGTGAGAAGTTCTATTTAAAAATTATTTGTAGGGATGGCAAAGAATAGTTGAAAATTCACAAGGATGTGATAAAATGAGGAGAGATGGTGGCTTTTGATCAGGTTGGCAGGAAATGCCCATCCTTGAGATCTGCAACAGCCACATCAAACTTAATTTCTAGAGAAATGAATAATAGATCTTCAGTGAATCTCATATATGTAATTGTGTGGAAATCCCATGGCCATGTGGGAGTCAGTGGGCTTTTGTTTGAGATCTTGAACACATCTGGGCAAAATCTTTGTCCTGGAAGAATCAATTTGAGCCAGAGCGAGCTGAGTGCAGCAAATTACATGATGAGGTGGCAAAGTGGGGGCAGAAACAAAAGAAGGGATGGGAGAGAGAATGGGGCCTGAACTTAACACATGCCTTTCCATTGACACAGGGGTTTATGTGAGGCTGGCATGAATGTGAGCTCTGTTTTGTTTGTGTGTGTGCAGCCATGCTGGATGAGGATGAGGAGGACAGGGTGGACGAGATCGCGCTGCGCCAGCTCACCGAGATGGGATTCCCAGAGAGCAGAGCTGTCAAAGCCCTCAGGCTCAACCAGTGAGTGGCCAGCACTGCCTGGCACTTTAACACAGATCAGCTTTAACACAAATTTGCATCTTTTTTGGTCTCCTGATATGGGTCACCTCAGTGGGGGCTGGAGGAAGCCTGAGCTCCAAGAAGTGCTGCCTCAGGCACGGTGCAGGTGGTGCAGGGAAGGGGGATCAGGGCTGGATGTGCTCTGCAAGGTCTGGGGGTCACAGAGCTGCCAGGCTGGCACTGTTTCCAAGTATCAAACTCACATTTTCTTTAGCTTTCAAACTCTGATTTTGCAGAGGAAAGGGCAGACTTAGCCTGTCCACACTGGCCTTTCAGCTGTAGAAATATACTTTGTGCTGATCTTTAAAAAAATCCAGGAATATTGTGAAGTCCAGAGAGCAACTGCAGTAAAATTGGAGAGGTTATGCAGTTCTTCTTGTGCCCTAAGAACAGGCAGCTGTACTGCCTCACTCCTCAGAGGGGTTTGTTAGGCCATTCTTGAAAAGTTTTGGTGATAGAGTCCACAACATAATCCAATCACACTTTTGCAGTCTCTCAGGAAGACTTTCCCCCCTGCTGTCCTGCAGCTTTCATATTGTAATAGAAAAGCCAAATAGGCAAAGGCTTTCCCTTCTGTGAATATGCAGTAATTCCTGTGTGGCAAATGGAATTACACACTCCTTGCACTACTGTTATTTTGGCCTTTTCTTTTCTACCTGTTGGGGAGAGGTGTTGGGGAGCTCTGGGGCTCCCTTAGTTGGAGCAGTGACACTGCACAGGAAATTATTGTGTCACCCCATGGTGTTCTGCTCCCCTGTCCCTGAGGAACAGAGCCCTTGGCACCTGAGATGTGGCTCCAGTGCAGATTTGGAACTTGCTTTGCTGGCAGTTCTGTCCACAGCTGCAAACAGCCAACTTTGGGAAACTCAGCAGATGCTGCAGAGGGTGAGGTGACCCCCTCAGAAATGCCTTTCAGAATCTGGGTTGCAGTCCAAGTTGCACTTGGAGCCTTTCTTTCCCCAGATTCAGAGACAATTGTACATACTCAAAGAACTGAGGTGTTTTGTTTGCTCCAAAACTTTCTTTATGAGTTTTGAGGTGCTAATTAAGCTGCAGGTTCATCCAGCATGGGGATAAATGAGTGCACATGGAGGTGGCTGCACATGCTCAGTGCTGTTCCCGTGTTTTGCAGCATGTCTGTGACCCAGGCCATGGAGTGGTTGATAGAACACGCTGATGACCCTTCTGTGGATGCTCCTCTGCCAGGTGCTGCTCCTGCAGAAGCCCCTGCAGAAGCCCCAGCTGAAGGTGCTGCCTCCTCAGCTGAGGCAGCTGCAGGGCCCAGCTCTGAGGAGGGCGGGGAGGAGGCCAAGGATGAGCTGACTGAAATCTTCAAGAAGATCCGCAGGAAAAGAGAATTTCGTCCAGACCCACGGGTGGGTGCTGCTTATCCCCGTGGGGCTTGTGGGACTGGGAGGGATTTCATGGGCACCATAAAATCCAAATGTTTCAAATGGGACCTCTGGGTAGATGGGTGCTGTGCTGGCTTGGCAGTGTTTCAGTGAGGTGTTCAGGGAGTGTTTAAATTCAGGGATTTTACCTCAGGAATGCATCAGTGTCTGGGATAGCAGGATCTACATGAAAGGCACTGTAACTTCTGCACCTGGAAACTCTCTGAGGGGACTGACAGGAGCTCCAGACCCCTGGCATTGCTGTTTTCACTGCAGCCTGGGAAGGAAGGGTGGCAGGACAGCAGTACATCCTTTGCCTGTAGAAAAGGCTGGATGGGGTCAGAAAACCCAAAGTGTCCCTGCTCCTGGCAGGGAGTTGGAGCTGGATGATCTCCAAAGTCCCTTCCAACCCAAACCATTCCATGATTCTGTGGAAAGGACAGAAGGACATTATTGTTTTAGGGAACAAGGCAAAGTGCCACCAGCAGGTTGAGTCTTGCAGCAAGGACAGGAGTTGCCCTTTGTTCAGAGCACAGCATTACCTGCAGTGGGAATGTGTGGTTCTCCCACTGGGAGCACACCAGGAGGGGCTCTGGGGCACCTTGGCTTCACAACTGGCTGCTCTGAGATCTGGGTTAAGAGCTGCAAATGTGTTTGATAGCCTGGGTTCAATTTCTAAACAATGAAGCATTCTGGTGCCATTATCTGGGTGTGTTTGTCTGAATCACACTCACCAGCAGTGAAATAAATCTGGGAAGTGAAATTAAATGGGGTGAGAGAACCACAAATGCTCCTCAAGGCTGATCTCTCAGTGAGGTGTGAACAAGAGCTTTGTGACAGGAGAGGAGCTCCAAAATGAGGAGTTTTCCCTCATTTTCCTTCTCTTTTCTGCCCCAGGTACACTTGCTCTTTGCCTTGCATTCAGCTTGCAGTGTTGAGGGTAGGAACTACCTTCACTCCTAAGATTTTTTTGTTCTTCCACTTTAAAGACACTTTTGATATAGAATATTGAAAACTTTGTTAATAAAATTACTGAGTGCTCTGCATGTGGAGATAATGATGGGGTTTTACCTCACATAAAGCTGTGCACAGAAGGTGAAGGGATATGATTGCTCTCATTTCTGATCTAAATATAAAATTTATTAAGCTGTGGGGTTCTGCTCTAGGCTGTCATTGCCCTGATGGAGATGGGATTTGATGAAAAGGAAGTGGTGGATGCACTCAGAGTGAACAACAACCAGCAAAATGCAGCTGTGAGTACAAAATCCTTCCTGCTCCAAGGGTCTGTCCCCCTGATGCTTCTCTTCCTTGGCTGGATCATATTTTGATCTGTCAGACAGTGAACTCCTGCTGAAGATTCAGGAGCACAAATTCTGTGCCTCCTTGAAGTTGGATACACAACTGGAATGACTGCAAAGGGTCTGGACTCCTGAGGCTGGGCTGTCAAAAAGCCTTTGAGGAACTCCCTCCCCACAGTGTGAGATTGTGCTGTCATAGGAAGGAGAAGATATTCCCAAGAATAACTGGTTTAGGACAGGAGTCAATGATCCAGGATGGATTCAAGCCATGTAATGTGTAAATTACCATTTGGCAGCAATGCTCCCACGGTTTCTGGAATCAGAAAACAAGAAGTTTTTCCAAGATTAATTAGTCCCCTGCTGTATATTAAGGATAATTTTGTGGACACAGCTGGCAGCCAGGGAAGCCTCTCTTCAGTATCCAGTGCTGGCTGCTGTTGGAGAGAGGATATTGGGTTGGATGGCACAAATGAATGTGTGAAAAGAAATGTACAGCTCAGGCTTTAACTGGGAGGGGGAAAAGTATTTTTAAAATGCCACATTAGCAAAACTTTTGAGTAGAGCCACTTTGGTGCTAATGAAATCTGATGTGCCTGCTGATTTCTTTCAGTGTGAGTGGCTGCTGGGAGACAGAAAACCTTCTCCAGAGGACTTAGATAAGGGCATTGACACCAACAGCCCTCTCTTCCAAGCCATCTTAGAAAACCCAGTGGTACAATTGGGGCTCACCAACCCTAAAACTCTACTAGGTAAGTGCTGTGTGGGTTCCTGCTGGGTTTGCCAGGAAATCCAAGCAGAGGTGATGGTGACAGCCCCTCTGAGCCTGTTCCTCCCTTGCAGCTCTGCTGTTTGTTTGCTCCATCCTGCAGCTCAGCTGAGCCCAGAGCAGGCCTGGGGGCTGTCCCAGGAGTGGCTGTAATTCCCCAGGATTACACTTGCTGAACTTGGGTAGCTGCTGGCTGCAGTGCTTTGTGGATTTAGGAGACCTTTTGTGTGCTCCCTTTTGGCCACAAAGGGAGAAATCAGGAATGTCTGTCTAGAACTCTGATTATTTCACAGAAAAAACAAGGCTGTGCAGCTCCCTGTGTGTGAGGCCTCATCACTGGGTCAGAAGGGAACTTGTGGAAAAATAACCCACCAAGAAGGTTGAGCTAAGGCTTTGCCTATCAAAATGGAGATAAAATGGGAAAACATCTTTCCCCTTGCCTGAGTTTGAGCTCTGTGGTAAAGTCTGTGTGCTCAGGGTCAGAAAGGCTGTGGGCACAGTGTGAGCCCAGCTGAGGAGACTGACAGTGCCCCAAATCCCTGAGGAATTGTTCTTTTTGACAGCACAGAACAATGACTGGCTCTCCCATGTAGTCATAAAAAGTTTTGCATTTAATCTTTGGCTTCAAAACTTATTTGAAGCAATGCTTTTAAATAAAGGCTGTGTGCACAGCTCATTCAAGAGAGCCTTTAAAAATACTACTTTAAATGTAATTAGGAGAGTTTGCAAGCCTTTAAATAATTCAAGAGCAGAACCTTCCCACTCTTGATTTCTGAACAAATGGTCTCTTCATTTCCAACAGGGGTTCCACACTGCAGCTCAGAATATAAATAGAAAATGAAATGCCATTATAGGAGCTCATGGAGCTTGGATGAACATCAGAGAATAAATTCCTCATGATACATCTGCAAATTGCTTATGTCACAGGTTTTAGTAATGAGGGTTTGCATTTAATGACCTCCTTACAGAATATTGATAAATCTTTAGTTTTAAGCTTCTGAGTCTGTGTTAAAGAAAATAGATCAAGTGCTGAAAGAGGAGATCTGGATTTTATTTTGGGCTTTCCTGGAGGCAAGTTGCATGACCTTGAGCAAGGTATTAATGAGGAGCCTTTCAGAGGTGCTGGGCACCTCCAGCTCCCACTGATGGCCCTTGAGCTTTGTGCCCTGACACTCCTGGGAAAATCAACCCTGACCTTGGGCCAGGCTCTTACAACACTGCCCTTTGGGTGAGTGTGCAGCTGCTTTTTTTGTCCCATTCTGTGATGACTGGCTCCAAATGTCCAGGAGCCCAGCTCAGTGGCTGTCCAAGGGCTTAAATCAGTGCCTGGCCCATTCCTCTGCCAGATTGGCAGCTCAGCTCTTGCAGTGGCTGCCTGGTTCCTTCAGCATGAGTAGAAAAGTCATAACTGAAACAGTCAGAGAAAACAACAGAAAGGCAAACAAACAGCAAAGCTCATTGTAGAGACAGAATATTAAATATTTGGACCAGTTAGCACAGGGAACAGACAAGAGGTGACTGTGCTTTCCATGAACTGTCTTGGCTAAGTACCAGAGAGGAAAAGCATATTGGTGCAAGAAATCCAGGCTGGGATGTGGAAAAAGCTTTGGTCAGAGGAGTGGAGCTGCAGGAGAGTGTTCAGGAATGGATAAATTCCATGGCATGATCCTGGAGACAGAGGCCTGGACACATTTGTTAAGGCTTTACCTTTTCAACCTCATGTCCTTGAGGGTTTGTGGGCTGGCCTGTAATCCAGGCTGAGCATTTAATCACTGTCTGCAGTGAGGAAAGCACAAAGCCTGTGCCACCATGCCAGGCTGTGGACCCTTGGGAATGCCCAACGTGCATCCCCACCATTCCTGGGCACTGCAGCTATTCCTCACTGCCCTGCTGCTGAAACCTCCCAAACATTGAAGGACTGACAGTTTGCAATCCCTTTTTTGTTGGCAGCCTTCGAGGATATGCTTGAAAACCCCTTGAACAGCACTCAGTGGATGAACGATCCCGAGACGGGGCCGGTGATGTTACAGATCTCCCGCATCTTCCAGACACTGAACCGCACGTAGAGGGAGCTGCCAGTGCACTGTGCCACCTCCCCCTGGCCTCACTCCCCCTCCACCTCCTCAGGAGGCTGCCTGGATGCTTGGGAAGGGGTGGAGGGAAGGGAGGGAAGGGGGAAATCCTGGCTGGAGGGGTCTCTCACACAAGAGAGTTCGTAGTTACGGCCAACAGGAGTGAGTTGCCTTGTGGATTTAGTGTTAGTGGAAGAGGTTTGAGGATTTGTTCATGTTTTCAGGTATTAGGTTTAAAATAAAGTATATCTATTAAAAAAAAAAATAGGAAAAAGGTTTTGTGAAAACATTTAAGAATCTGATTGTTGGAAAGAAATATTGCTCGTTCAAAAGGCCTGTGACAGTTTTCTGGCCAGTTTTGCTAGGATCTGGCTGGTGTTTACAAAAGGTCACTGACCACTAGCATAGGATATTAATCATCTCCATACAGTATTAATTTATAGCTCTTATCAAATTGCAAAACTGCTTTTTAAAAAAAAAAAAAAATTGATTCTTAGGAAATGTTTTTTAAAAGCCCAAATCTTGGGAAAGCAAGCACATTTCTATCCAAGCTTGTTTATCTGGCATTCTAATTTAAGCAGAATCATTCAGAGATGGAATTCTAATAAATAGCATTACTTTTTCCTATTTATTTGCTGCGTTAGTGTTGTTGCAGTCCCACTGGGGTTGTACTTGCAGGAGGTTCTCTGTCAGGTACCATAAAGGTGCAGGATCTCTTTCACCACAGAATTCACCACATCAAGGCTTGGATTCCCAAGTGGCTGCAACTCCTAAGCTCACACTCTGCCATATCCCATTGCAAGGAGGGATATGTTCACACAGTGGTTTTTTTTTTTTCCTATTTTTATGTGCACAGTTTTGGCAAGGGGCTTGTGGGGGTTTTATTCTGTTTACAAAAAAAAAAGCAGCTGAATTGCATGGGGGGGTTTGCTGGGGTTCTGTAAAGCAGCAGAACCACACAGATTTTTATCTTGTTTAAGGTATTTAAAGCACGCTTGAAATTGCTATCTTTGAGTTAGAAGTGGGGTTTTCTTTATCCTTATTTTTACCATGGTCATACCAAGAATGTCAGGCTGGGTCTTTCCTATTTTGCCAGAAGACTGACTTGAGATTTCAGAGAGGAATTCTGAGCTATTAAGAACAGAACTCACTGTGAATATCCAGCTGGTGTTTATGATTGGGCTCTGCAGGTGTTACTTTTTTAGCAGTCTGCTAAAAAAAGGAGTTTATTTTCAACTCAGTGCAACATGATTGACATCTGTCATCATCCCTGCCATGCCTTGTGCTTCACAGCCCTGCAGGAAAGGCAGAAGAGGCAAAATTTGCAGAGAAAGCAGGTGGAGACCCTGTGCTTAAACAGCACAAAGTTTTCCTGTCAGACAGGGAGATCCTGAGCAAGTCACCTCGGAGCTGTGGGAGGGATTTAGGTGCAGTTGGGTTTTTTTAAACAAAAATGCAGCAAGATGCAACCTGAAACCCTACAACAAGTTTTGGCCTGAACTTGGCATCTGCTCTGTGCTGTTATGCAGCTGAGGCACTGAAGTTGCCAATTTCTCATCATTAATATGAAGGGTGGGGAAATCAAAACAGCCTGAGATTTTATCTTGTCTTACTATCCCAGGATTCTTTTATTTTTTTTTTTAATTTTGTAATTTCATATTAAGCTTTACAGTTGATGACTGCTGAAATATTTACTTCTACATTTAGAAATTCCAAGCTTTATAGAGATGTTTCTTCTGTTCAAATTGGACAGTAAAACCATTTTTGTGGGCTCTTGCTAAGAATAGACTGAGATGACATGAAATTATAACCTTGTCCTGTAACTGAAGCCAGGAGCCTGATCCTGCACCCCAGTGAGCTCAGCACAGCTACTCATGAGTAGCTGTGACTGAATATTGTGGTCTTATAAAAGGTTTTGATTATTTAATCCTTTTTTTTTTGCTTACTCCTGAAGCTTTTTACCTGTAATAATACCAGAAGACTCTTTTACTTGAAGCTCTTAATGTTAGAGAGAAATGTCCCTCTCTACAGTTAGGATTGTGGTTTATATTCCTTTTAATGAGTGTTTTTAGAAGGCAAAGTTGGGAAAAGCTACCCTGTAGTTTGGTGGGAGGTTTTTTGGCTTCTGAATGGATAAGGAGAGGTTCAGAATGAGCAAACAGATCCTTTGGGGCAGTTGTGGCCCTTGAAGAATGTAAAGGCTTGGGAAATGCTGGGTTTGATTTCAGGAGGCCATGGTTGGACTGCAGAGCTCAGAATGGCAGCAGCCCTCAGTGCCCCTGAGCTGATATAAAGGGTGGGGAAAAGCACCAGTAAAACAGATTATCCTGATGTGATAGGAGGTGAGAATGCCCAGGTTCAGCAGCAGCAGCAGCTGGGAGACCCTAGAGATAAAGGAATTCTGCATTTTAGGGTGCTGGGAGGCTTGAGAAGATGTGGTTATTTCTGGATTTTGTTATTGCAGAGCTCAACACTTCCACAGATGAGCTGTTGTTTGGGATGGCTTTAACAGAGCCCTGCTTGGCTTGTGACAGCTGAAGTTTGCAGTGGCCAAAAGCTGAAGGAGAGCAGAATTTAGGAGGTGTGGTGTTTGCAGCAAGGCCCAGGAGTTGATTTAAACCCAGCAAAAACTCTCCTGATGAGGTTGAAGGAATTGATGCAGACATCAGTGGTGCTGGGGTGTGAATTACAGCAGGGGCTGTGTCCCATCACCCCAGGGCTGGGATTGCTGTTCATCCCAGAAAATGCAGAGGGGAGTTGAGTCCCCTGTGCTTGGAAAGGCCCAGTTTTTGGAAAACCTGCAAAAGCTGAGGTGTCAGCACTCTGGAGCTGGAAGGTGCAGCCATGGGGCACAGGGAATGTGAGAGGCTTTGCCTGGTGAGGAGCTGTGCTGTCCCTGGGTGCAGTGAGAGATCCCTGAACACACAGCAAGGATTTTTGTTCAATAAAACCAGCAGGGTTTGTGAGGAAGAGGTGCTCCCAGCAGGGAGGATTTACAGGCTCAGGTCCTGTGCTTGCACCTTGGGTGTTCAAGTTCCAACTAGCACAGACATGTCAGAGTTAATTTTCTCTTAACATGGTCAAGAGAAAATTATTGGAAGCCTGGCAGATGGAGCAGGAAAGGGATGGGGTGGTGGGTGACTAATAGTGTGATTCTTACAGTTCCTGCTCTTTGCCCCACTGGCAGCCAGACAGTCTTGTACCTTTTGATGTTGCAGGCCTCTTGCAAGTAGCCAGCTATTTATTGAAATATATCTAACTTATAATTGTGTCACCAAAACACTGATGTTTTTAATGGCAATGTATTACATGGAAGTTTGTTCTCAGGGCTTCGTATTTATACTCCTTTTTTAGGGGGATGCATTTAAAGGGATGTATTTGGAAAAGAGGCCAGTGGCTACTTTACAGCTTGGACCTTGATTGTCCTGACCTGTGAGCCTGAGCTGCTGTAACTCTCCTGCTGAACCTCTGTCCCTGCTCCAGCCCAAAGAATCTGCCATTCCTCCTCTCCTGGTGAGCAGGGACGTGAGTCTTCCTTTGGGATTGCTGCATCCCTGCATGGCAATGGTCACACAGGATCACCCTGCTGGGCTTTGCTCCATCTCAAGGACGTTTGTGCTCTCCATGCAGCTGCAGAGTGGACTTGCACAGTTCCCAAGGCAGCCATCAGGGCATTCCTCCTCTGGGAAGGTGGGAGATTCTCTCCTGCACGAGTTCCAGGGCCTCTCCTCCTCTGGGAAGGTGTGAGATTCTCTCCTGCACGAGTTCCAGGGCCTCTCCTCCTCTGGGAAGGTGGGACCTTCTCTCTGCACGAGTTCCAGGGTCTCTCCTCCTCTGGGAAGGTGTGAGATTCTCTCTGCACGAGTTCCAGGGTCTCTCCTCCTCTGGGAAGGTGGGAGCTTCTCTCTGCACGAGTTCCAGGGTCTCTCCTCCTCTGGGAAGGTGGGAGATTCTCTCTGCACGAGTTCCAGGGCCTCCAGCTCGTGGCTGCTTCTTGGCAGCCCCTGTCACAGACCTGACCCAAAGCTTGACACACCCCTGCCCCTTTCTTTCCTCCTCTCCTGGAACCAAACTTCCATTTCAGAGATTTGATTTTCATATCCAAGCAACTCTTTAGTGGTTCTTGAAATGCTTTTTTAGTTAGGACTGTTACAATTATCTTTTTGTAGGCGTTCACACCAAAACAAGCATCGCACCAAACGAATGTATAGCGACACTGTCAGCAGACATTGCCTGGGGAAGGGGCACAGGTTACTGTGAGCTCTGCTCCAGGGGCAGTTTTCCCAAAGGCTTGTGCAAAGGATAGCCAGTGTTTCATCCAAAGGAACCATCCTGGTTTTCTACTTTTAATAATAAATACCATTTTTATTAACCAACAGAACAGCTTCCAGCTGGTATTTCCATCCAACTGAGAGTCCTGGAGCTTTAGGGCTGGAGATCCTGCCTGGATCCCCCTCTCTGGGCCAGCTCCTCCTTGGAAGGGTTTGTGCTGGCTGTGGCAGGGCAGTGGGGGCAGTGCCCTCCTCCCTGCACGGGGTGTTACATCCATGTGAATGTTCTCATGGTGGTTCTCGCCTCCATCCCCACATCCTGTGTAGCAAAAGGGTTTTTTTTAAGGACCTCTTGCCCTAGATTTGAAGATCTTCAATGCAGATCCTGTTTGCAGCATGTGAACTTCAGGAAATGTAAATGCATTAAATTCTTACTGAATTTGGGTATAGTTTTATATCGAGCTCTGGGGAGAGGGAGGAAATTGGATCACGTTTTAAACGAAGCCCCACAAACCCAAATGTCTCTGTTGCAGCAGGTAACAGAGGCCTGTAGAGATTTTTAATTTGCATATTTTTATCATGGCTTAATGAACTGTACACGAATGTGATTTGCTACCCAGCACTTCCCACGAGGCAGCACCAGTAAAATTACATTGCAAGGTACTGACTTCACATTTTCTCATTTCACCTGTGTATACAGCAATTAGGTACTGCGTAGGATAACTTTGATCTGGCTCTGATGCCGGTGTGTGGCATGCACAGCTCTTCCTAAGGTGTAACATTACTTTTCTGAAGCTTAAACTAGGGCAGACATCCCTGAGCCTGTGGAATTTGGGATTCATTCTGGCCACGCTCGCGTGGGTCGCTGACCCCTCCCTGAGCAGGAAAACCAGCAGGATTTGCTCCCTGCAGAAATCCTCCAGGCCAAAAGCAAGGAATGCTGCTGATTTGTGATCATTTGAAGCAGTTGCTGTTCTGAAATATATTCCTGGAAGGTCAGGGAGGTGTTGGCAAAGCCAGACCTGTTCAGCCTGGAATTGTTTTGTGTGGAGATGTGGAACCCATGGCCAGGGCTGGAGTGAATGCTGAGACTTTAAACCTGCTCACACATAACCCCAGACACTGATGTTGTGTGTGCTGTACATTTATAATATATCTTCAAAATAAAGTTTTTTGATTTATTACAAGGTGTTTGGAACCATCATTTGCAGGAGCAGCAAAGGTTTGTGGATCCACGTTGCCAATGTTCCTTTTACCTGCAGGTTGCTGGAATTGTTTCTCAGAAAGTGGGGTATGAGAGCTGCTCATGCAGAGTTTGTGCAGGAAATCCTGCTTCAGCAGCTGGTTTTGCACCTGGAAGGTATTTCTGTATTTTTCAGGAAAAGTTGCACTTGGGCAGATTCATTATAAGGACTTTGTGAAACACGATCTGGTGATCCCCTGGGATGTTCCAATGCCACTGAAGATGGATTTATCTTGACAGTTGTTGAATGACAAATTGAAATCTTTTCTTTCCCAACAAGGGAACCCTCATTAAGGAAATCAGCTCCAGCAAGCAGCAGCTGGTGGGATGCAGCAACTTGCACGTGAGGTAACCAAAATTCCCATCTGGCTGTCGTGGTGCCAGCGCTGCTGGGGGAGATTGGGAAGCACTTCCAAGCCTTGGCCCTTTCTGTGGCGCCTTGGAGGTAACTGATGGGGTGTAAATGTGTGAGCTTATTTCTGTAAAGGAAAGAGAATCTGTAGAGTTCATTTGGGGTTTTTTAATGGATTAGCATTTTCTTCCACGTTCAGAGCAAGGAACCTGCCAGCAGCCTGTTTATTTAGCAGCTACTGAGGAGTTCAGAGTGATTTTCATTGTGTCCCATGAGAGATGGAGGGTTAGAGTGTGAGACATGAAAATGCTCCTTGTTCAGATCATGTTGGTAATTGTGGTGGTGTTAAATGCAGGTGTTTGTGGTGTCAGGCCCTAACTCAGGTTTGCTGTAAATGCACAGCACAGCAGCAGGACAATTCAAAGGTTTGGCTCTCCACTAATTTACAATTAAAACAAAAAAAAAATTACCTTAAAGCAGCTTGGGGATGTATCATTAGATAATGACACTTGTGAACCTGAACTGGTACAGCAGGTCTGGGCAGAGATGCACACCTTGGAGATGAAGAGGTGCTGCTGTGTGAGTGACAGGAGGGGCTGGAGCTGGCGTGTGTTTGGCAGGGACGTGTCCCGGGGTGCTCCAGCAGGGATCAGCAGCAGCTCCAGCCCGGGAGCCGCCTCCAGCAGGGCTCAAATCCATCACAAGGGTGGGAAGGGAAGCACAGGATGCACTGGGCTGTGGAGAAGCAGCTTGGTGTTGGCAAGGTGAGCCACTGCTGACAGCACAGCGGTGTGGCAAGAGTGGTTCCCAGCGCTCCATGGGCGCTGTGCCGGTGCCATCCCAGGGCTGGGCTGGGTTTTCTCCTTCCCTGTGTTTGCTCTCTCCCATGAATTCATGGTCATGGTCAACATTCCCCTTAAAAAGGAGCAGAATATTGTACAATTACCCATCAGCTCCTCTGGACAGGGTTCCAGAGTGACTGCGCAGAGATGCTGTGGCTGCCCCATCCCTGGAAGTGTTCAAGGCCAGGTTGGATGGGGCTTGGAGCAACCTGGTCTGGTGGCAGGGAATGGAACAAGATGCTCTGTAAGGTCCCTTCCAATCCAAGCCATTCTGTGCCTGTGAAACAGATGGAAGCAGCAGATGCTTCCCCTGGGAGCTCCTGTGCCCTGACAGCCCAGTGAGCTCAGGCCAGGCTGCCATCCCCTTGGTGACAATCCTGTCATGTGCTCTCTGCTTGATCATGCCTTTCTTTAGAATTGATTTTATTATAAGAGGAACTGGCCAAAGGAACAGCAGCTCTGGAGGCTGCTGGGGATGATTTGGTATAGGGAAATTGGGTTTGGAGCAGAATTAAGGGAGAAATTACTTTGTCTTGTAATTCAAAAGCTTTCAGTTCAACTGTAGGACTTGTGAGCTGGATGTGGGTGCTGGAAAATGGCTGGGAGGAGGGCAGGGCTGCAGTGTACGTGTGTGAGCTCAGTGTGAGTGCCAGTGAGTGTGACCTGGGCTGGGACACAGCCCGAGCCCTGCAGATCCAGTGTCACCAGGAATGTGGGCACTGCTGGGGCTGGGGGAGGGACTCCAGTAACTCGAGCTGTGCTGGACCAGACCACGCTGGACTGAAATAAACCTGGAGAGGTGACCAGCTCTGTGAGCCAGGGCTGTGATTCACATGCCTGGCACAGGAGCTGGTGCCCAGATAAAAGGGCTGAGTTCAGAGCTGTGATGCCAGGGGGTCACTGCTGGCTCCAGCAGCACATCCAGGTGAGGGCTGCAGGTGGGATGCAAACCCCACGTGCTGGGGTCCTGCACCAACCCTGCACCCTGGGGTGCAGCACTGCAGCTTCCCCAGTGCCACAGGGAGAGTCCCAGCTCTCCAACAGGTTTTGTTAGCCATCCATCAGCAGTTGCATAAGGAGCTCTCCCACTCTGGGAAGCAGTGTGGAGCAGGAGCTGCTTCAGCTCTGGGTGCAGGATGTGAGTGGTGGCCCTGGAGGCCTCACCCCTAATCCTGGTGAGGGCTGCTGGAGCCTTTGGGGCTGTGCAGGTGTGTGGCTGCTGCTGCACCCCAAGACTGAATTATTCATGGCAGACTTGCTGTGCTTATGCATCATGTGGTTTCTTGGTTCTTATGAGCTGTAGCTTAGGCATAAACCACATTTATGTAGCTGTGAACCTGTTTTTGCCCTCTGAGGAAGGGCTCCTCCTCAGGGAATCTGTGCCCAGGAGTCCTGAAGCCACAGCAGCTCCCACACACCCCAGGTTTGGTTGAATTATTTATTGAGCTCCTCCTCGATGTGGCTGTGCAGGACAGCCCCAGGGCTGTGCTGACCCTGCTGCTTCAGCCATGCACAACCTCTGTCCCTTTGTGCTGTGCAAGGGCTGGAGAGGAGTTTTGAAACAACTCTCTGGATTTCTTGGCTGGGATGAGACTTTTTGCTCTGTTCCCATGGCCTTAGTGGGGTTGAGGAGCTGCTGGACCCCCAGAAGCCCCACATAGCTCCTCCATGAAGTGTGCAAGAGAAGGGAATAGTTCAGACCTTCAAATTCATCCTTCAGAGCACACCAGGTGGCTGTTGCCATGCTGTTGGATTGGTGCTGCAGCATCCCTGTTCCATCTGTGTTTCCCCCTAACAGGAGCTGGTTGCCAGGGTGCCTGGGATGAATCACGGGGTGCTCTCTGCCTGTACCCCCCTACTCCTGGTGTCCTCACAGACAGGCACTTAACTCCCCTGCTCCCACACATTGGGAACATTCACCAAAAAAAGAAAAAATGCACAGTTCCCCCCGAAATCTGTGCTTTGGCCTCCAGTGAACCTTCCCCATCCCTCTTTCCCCTTTCCTGTCAGCGACAAGCAGCACCCACTCCTGCCAGTCCCTTTTTCCCCCTGCAGCAGCCCTGGGCCTGGTGCAGCCCAATCCATAGGAGCTTTGAGGTGTTTCCATCCAGGCCAGGTGCCTGGAAGTAGGACAGAGCCCTGCCCATTGGAACCCTGGTGCTGCAGCTCTGGCAGCCTCGGTTTCCCTGGTGCTGTCACTTCCCGGGCTGAGCAGTCCCTCAGATTCCCATGGGTTACCCTGGGCTGTATTTTAGAGTTTGCTGGGCTAAAAATAAAATCCCCAAGTGTTGGGTTCCCTGGTCCCAACCTCATGGAAGGAGGGATGCCCAGGACCCCCAGGAGGGGTCTGGTGGGGGGTGCTGCCTGGGGCTGTGATGCCTTGGGGGCTGCTCCCATGGAGGGTTGATAAAAGTTTATTTTTTGGAGATGATGTAGCTGCTGCATCACTGGCTGCTCTTGCTCAGCACAGAGCCTCCTGCAGGACTCTCATCCCACTAAAAATACTTCCTCTGTCTCATCAGGCTCAGTGTAACAGAGCCTGTGAGTGGAGGGGATGGAGCCATCAGTGCTCCTGGCTGTGGCTACCAGATGGCACGTGAGGAAACCCCACATGGCCCAGCTCTGAGCAAATGTGCTGCCAGATCCCTCTGAAGAACCTCTGTATGTGCAGCATTGGTTTGTGCTGGTGCTGAGCCCCCTGTGTGTGTGCCCAGCAAACATTCCTGCCTGCTCCTGACTGGTTTCCAGGCTTTGGTCCCTTTTCAGCTGCCACCATGCCGGACACAAGTGCTGGGCACTGCAGGGCAGCGTTCCAGAGGGAGGATGTGCGGGAGAATCGGGCCTGAACGTGAGGGGCCCAGTGCATCCCCTCTGAGGAGAGACCCTCACCCATTCCTGGTGCCAAGGGAACCCAGAGTAAGTAATTTCTCAACTGTTTCCTTAATCTGGGGTTTTGTGAACAGAACTGAGGTCCAAGGGCAGTATGGGGGAGCAGGATCTCATCTGTCCCTCTGCCTCTGTCCCAGTCCTGCCACGCCACCAGCACTGGGCACCTTTCAGAGCCGACGGGCTCCAGCATCTTCCCCCTCCTGACTCCTTGGCTCTCCTGCAAAAAAAATCCCAAAAAAACCAAGATCCCGGCGTGACACTGCCTTGAGGGGCTACACCTGAACGCTTTCCCCGCACAAAACCTTGCAGCTTTAACCAAAAGCAAAGCGGGAATATCTGCTGCCGGCATCGCCCCGCAGCCCCCGGCCCCCTCCTCCGCATCCCTGATGTCACTCGGCAGGAGCGTGAGTCAGCCGCAGTTGCC